TAAAGTGCATTACGTTTACGTATACCGTGTTATTAAAGTCAATATCATCTTGAAGCTTAATACTAAACCTTTTCGAAAAGCGTCCGAATACTTAATAATAATAATAAAACTTTTAAATATTATAAAGCAAATCTCGTTTGAATTCGTGCTCGGCTTTCTTAAAAATAGCAGCAAATCGACTTATTAAAAGGTGGCTAAAACGCTTGTAAATAGTCCTCAATTGCTCTTCCGTAAAGTAGCAATAGACGGTCTCGCTCTTAATGCTATAATAAGTAGCAGCGTGCTTTTTACTTAATAGCATTTATACGTGCTTAAACATCTTTACTATTAGTATTTCTTTCTTCTTTTAAACTAGCACGTTCCGCAAGTTATTTAAGATCACTTTATGCTTGTTTATATCAGCTAACGAGAATAAAAAAAGTACGTCGCTTTTTATAACGTAGAACTCTATTTGACTTAAAAAGGTATTTAAAGTAACTGCTTTAATAAAAGTGGCAAAGCCGATCCCGTACTTAACGGACTTCTCTCTTGCTCGAGATGTATTTAATTAGACTTCGAAGTACTTCTTTTAAAATGCTTTTAGCTAAGGCAAGCTAGCGGTAAAGAAATTGGTTGCTCCGCTATTAATTATAAAGCTTATAAATACGTTTTCAAAGTACTTAAAAGCTATATAAGTCTTTGCTTTACTCGCGAGCATACGCGGATCTTGCTCGAGTATCTTTTAAGTCTCTACTTGGCTAATAAAAGCGTAGAATGCCGTTTGAATCTTTAGCTGCTTGTATACTTCGTTAGCGTTAAAAGTGCCGTAAGTAATCACAAAACTTTTTAATATGTTAGCGTAGCTGCTCGATTCGAGCGGCTCGTTTAATAAGCTTGCGATAAACTGATCGAATTCTTTCGTAAATACAAGTAGCAAACTTTCGATCGACGCTACGTATTAAAAGAATTTGCTCTTCGTTACCTTTTTTGCGTCTTTAAAGCTCTAGAACTTGGCTACGAAAGCCTTGCGCTCGTCGAAGGTGTAGTTAGTGCTCTAGCAACTTAGCTTCTTACAAACAAAACACTTTTTTTTATTTTTAATAGCTTTAGCAGCTTTTTTATTTCCGAAGTATTAGCGGTCTTGAATAAAGCATTCGTATTCTTCGTTTAAATCGGAGTCAGCCTTTAAAGTGTTATGCTAAAAGCAAGTGTGGTCGTGTAGCTCGCTAAAGCTTGCGTAAGCTTTATTCGCTTTAGCGGGAGGTCGAGAGGTCTTAGTTGCGAATGCAATTGCTCGGCGGATATCGGCAATTGCGGCGGTAAAAGTAAACGCAAAGTTTATACGTGCAATCGTAGTCTTTAATACGTTTTTACAAGCTGAATATAGCTTGTTAGCAAGACTACGATTATCTTTTAAACTTGGTCGTAAAGAGCTTTGAATGCTTTTAAGCTCTTTAGCGAGCTTCTTAAAGCACTCGTTAAGCGAGGTCCTTAGATTCTCTTTCTTAATTAAATCTAGCGAAATTTCTTTTTAACGGTCGTATTTTGCTTGCCGCCGGTAGTTAGTTTCGAAGTGATCTTTTACCGCAATAGCGTTTGCTTTGAATATCGGAAGCTTAATTTTAATAACGTAATTGTAATAAAATGTAATAGCTTCTTTCGTAAGCATAATAAAGAACGCCGCTAAGTAGTCGTCGGAGGTCAAACCGTATCGACTTGCTTAATTAATAAAAATCTTTAATTAAGTTTTAAAGTCATCGTCGGGTTTCGAATACTTTAGCTCTTTAAGAAAGCTTCTTGCAAACAAAGCTAATTCTTTTGCTCTTGAATGAGGGTCCGTTGCTTTAAGCTTAAGGAAATCGTTTTTATTATCGTCAAAAGCGCTTGGAATGCCGTACGCAAGCGTGCCGTGCTTAGCTAATAGTCGGATTAATAAAAGGTTACCGATATAATTGCCGATAATAAGTCTTACCCTTTCAAGGTCTTTAAAAAGCTCATTTCCGGATCCGGAGTCTTTTAAGGGTCCGTTTTTAAATCCTTTTAATAGTCTAAAAGGCCCGTTCTTACTTTTTCCGTATCCGTGTCTTCGATCTCTTTGTTAATCTCCTCCGTTCCTTTCTCGTCGATCATCGTTAAATCGTTAAAGCTATTTAAGTCACTTGCTAGTGCTTTAGCTTAATGATATCCGTATCTTTAAGCTTGCTTTTAACGATTTTTATACTCTTAGTCTTTCTTTTATTAATACGTAGCTTTTTAAAAGATGTAAGTAACTTGCCGGTACGTCCGAAAGTGCTAGATCTTCTTCTCGAGTTATTAAGGTTAAGCACGGAAATCTGCACGCTGTCTTTAGTAAAAGCTGATTTTGTCCGGAATGCTTTTAAGTTTTAACGGGTCTTCTTTTAGCGTGTAGCTTTCGTAGCTTCGAATATTGTTTAGTCCGTTAATGATCTTAAAACCTTTGTTATTATTGCTATTAAGCTTAAGCTTTTCAGAAAACTAGGTATAGCTTTTAAGAAAAGGGTTTAAAAGCCGCTAAAGTGATTTTAACTTTTGTATAATTAGCGTATTGCGTAGCGATTAATGAATTAAAAGCGTCGAGTACGCTGAAGTGCTTCGTCGTAGCCTTTCGTTAGATTGTATAGCGTAAGTTCGTAATTCCGTTATTTGCTTTGCTATAGCTTTTATATTGCGTTCTATATCTTTCTTCTCTTTTAAAAACTCTTCTCGTAACTTTCGGATCTCTTTCTTTTTTTCTTTCTTGCTTAAAGTCTTTTTTTCTTTCTTTTTTAGACTGCGCGAAAGTAGAAGTGGTTAAAGTGTAATATCGTCGTCGTCGTCGTCCGTAAGGTTTTCGGCGGTCCACCTTGAATCGAAGCTTAAAGGTGTTGCTTATTGCTTTTTTATTTCTTAGAAAGTCTATTAGTATTACTGCTCGTCGTTTAAGAGCTTGACTATCTTATTAGCGTAGCCCTTTTGCTTTAAAGGGCACTATACGCTTTTAGATAGCAAGTGTTCTTTAAAGCTAATAAAAGTAGCAAACTTAAAGCTTCGTCTCGTATTGTCTTTTATTATCGTAAAACTCGTCTAATCTTAACGTAAGAAAGCGTGCCGGAATAAGCTTTATAAGTCGTAATCCTTTAGCCTTTTATACTTCGCGTCTAAGAAGTCCTTTACTATTGCTCGGGCCGTAATCTTATTATCAAGCTTTGCGTATAAGAGCTCGTTTAAGTCAAATAAGATGCTCGACATCTTATCGTCTAGTCTTTCCGAGAGGCTTAAAAGTCTTAAGTATAAGGTTTCTTTTGGTTGAATAGCTAAAGGTTCCGTAAGTAATAATGAGATTCGAAGGGTATAATACCTTGCTCTTTGTCGGCTGGACTCTTTACTCGGAGGTCTAATTGCTCGATCGGCTATAGTTGTTGTCTGTTTGTGTATAGGTCGATCTAAATTAGTTAGGTTGCTATATATAGCAGGCGCGGCTCTTACAGCGTTAAAGGTTGTATAAAAGTGACTTGGTTCGGAATCACTTTTCCGTAGGAATAAGGAAAATCGGTAGTATAGAAAGCGACTTGGTACGGAATCGCTCTTCCGTTATAAAGGAAAGGTATCGTAATGAAAGGTATCTTCGCTATAGAGTCTTAGCTTCTTTGTGATTAATCACTTAGTAGTAAATCAACTATTGATTAGTGTTAGATTGCTTTCAAGCGATTAGGAATATATATATTCGTAAAGTCGTAACGGTCGTTAAAGTACTTGCAATTGCAAAACACTCGGTTGATAAGGTATTTGAATTCTGTCTGCTCCTTAATGCTTAAGGGAGCTGATTTTTTCTATATGATTAGAAGGAATCACGTGCACTAGCCAACTAATAAGCTTACTTGTTAAGTTGGGGGTCCCTTGACTGCTGACATGCTAAGCGAGGCATGCCAAGTGGCCCGTGAACCATGGTTCACGGGTGAGCTCCCTCAACTACTACTACTAGCTAGCTAAGGTCGATATGGAGATACCGACACTTACTTCTTTCGAATCGGCGCATTAGATTTGCAGCAGAGTTTAAAGCTTTCTAAAAAAGCTTAAGCGGTCTAAGTATATTACTTAAGTTATTAAAGTTATTAGAATTACTTAAGTTACTTAAGTTATTCAAGTTACTAATACTAATTAAGTTTTTTTAATATGCGATCTAAGCTTACCGTTTTGATTTTATATACTTTGCTATTACTTAATATACTTAATACGGATAACACGTCTTCTTTTAAAGAGGTTCTTAGTACTTTGCTACCGTCTTATCAATTATAGCGAGATAATAATTAAGAAGAAGACTTTAAAGATAATGAACTTTTACTTTCGTTTTTATTTTTTTTAATGAAAAGGCGAAAAGGTCGTTTAAGAAAACTTGCTGTTCGCATTTTATTAGAATTGCAATTGCGTCGTAGCCGTTTTAAAAAACAAATTTCTAGCTTATCTTTTTTATAATCGTCTAGCATTATACAGAACTCTTTTTTAAACCGCTAAATGTTTTCTTTTGATTTCGAATCCGATTTAAAAGTTATCGGCTATCGCTTAAACGCTTTAAAGTAAAGTCGTAAAACACGTAAAGCTCGAAGGATTTAAGCTAATATCGAACGAGAGAACCGCATATAACGAAAAGATAAACGAAAAGCTGTTAAAAAAGCTGCTTGAGCTGAACAAAAACGCCGCCGCACTTTTCAGTTTTAAAAGTCTATCTTTTTTTCGGACTTATTATAACCGTATGCTACTTTAGCCGAATATAAGCTAGCGGTTAATAAAAAAGAATAAAAGATAATCTACGATTTTCATTCGATTATAAAAGCTATTTAAATAGACTTTTGTGTTGGATCGCCGGTAGCGATCTCTCGTAATATATTCGTAAAAGTCGTGACGTCGTCAAAGTACTTGCAATTGCAAAACACTCGGTGGTAAAATACTCAATTGTTGCTTGTTGTTCTTGTTCTAAGAGAGCTGACTCCTTCTATATAATAAGAAGGAGTCACGTATACTAGCTAAATACTAGGTTTACAAGCAGGTTGGGAGGGCCCTTTGACTTGTGACAGGCTAAGCGAAGCATGCTTAGTGGCCCGTGAACCTTGGTTCACGAGTGAGCTCCCCTTAACTACTATTTACTAGCTAAGGTCGATATAAATATACCGACACCGGCAAAACTTTCTTTGGCAAACAGTGCTTTGCCAACTATTATATCGACCGAAAAGAAGGAAAGTAGTAACAATAAAAAAATTCACTCGTAAAAAAACAAACGCAAGGAATAAAGAAAAAAATCCTTCCTGAAATAAATCCCTTCCCTTTCCAAAACCCGTCACTTTGCGAAGTGCTCACAGTGCTCTCCTCCGTATTGGCAGCCTTGAATAAAACACTCGTACTCGTCCTCAAGGTCGTCGGAATCAGCCTTGCTTGAGGTTTGAGAGGAGTGCTGAGAAGAGTGCTGAGACTGATCAAATGGCTCGCTAAAGCTCGCGTAAGCTCTGCTTGCCTTGGAAGGTCGATAGCTCTCACTCTTAAGAGGTTGAATGCTCTCAGTTGCAAAACCAATTGCTCGGCGAATGTTAGCAACTGCGGCGGTAAAGGTAGAAGCAAGGTTTATTCGCGCAATGGTCGTCTTTAGCACGTTTTTACAAGCTGAATACAGCTTGTCAGCGAGACTTTTATCGTCTTTTAGACCTAGTCGTAGCGAGCTCTGAATGCCTTTGAGCTCTTTAGCGAGTTTTTCGAAGCACTCGCTAAGCGAGTTCCTTAGGTTTTCCTTTTTGATCAATTGCAGTAAGATTTCTTCTTAACGATCGTATTTAGCTTGCCGCCGTTAGTTAGTTTCAAAATGGTCTTTTATTGCAATAGCATTAGCCTTAAATGTCGAAAGCTTAATTTTGATCATATAATTGTAATAAAAAGTTATAGCTTCTCTCGTGAGCATAATCGAGAATGCTGCTAGATAGTCGTTTAAGGTCAAGCTATACCGACTTGCTTGGTTAGCAAAAATCTTTAATTAAGTTCTAAAGTCATCGTCGAGTCTCGAATACTTTAGTTCCTTAAGAAAGCTTCTTGCAAACAAGGCTAATTCCTTCGCTCTTAAGTGAAGGTCTGCTGCTCTTAGCTCAAAGAAATCGTCTCTATCGTCGTTAAATGCTCTTAAGATGCCGTAAGTGTGCTTGGCTATTACCCGGGTCGAAAAAGGGGTGCTAGTAAGGGGTCGGTTTGGCCTAGGTCCGCCGAGGGGTTCGTATCCTCGTTCAAGGTCTTGTCCAAGGTCCTTTAGCGGCTCATTTCCGAATCTAAGGTCTTTTGGAGGTCCGTTTTCCTCTCTTTTCGTCGGGCTACCGTGTCCTCCTCTTCTTCTTCCGTGCTTATTCCACTCGCTTCCCTTTCTATTCTCTCTTTCTAAATCACCGTCCGAGTCATTAAGATCGTTAGGGTTGCTAGCAAGAGCTTGCTCGTATCTTTGGGCTCGGTCTTAGCGGTATCCATTGCCTTGGTCCTCCTCTCTCCGGATCTTTTCCTTAAAATTATACCTTCGGTAGGTTTGATCTTTGCCTTAGGCTTGCTGCGAACCAGATCGAAGATCTTTACGTTGTCCTTAGTAAAAGGAAAATTTTTCTTGAATCTAAAGGTCGTTATACTCTTTCGCGTATTCTTTCGGTGACAAAATCGCTGGCTAGAATAATAAAGCAACGAGAGAGGAAAGTGAATCGCGAGAACTTCGCCTTGATGATTGCCTTGCTGCCTTAGCTGCTTCGAGCTCTTCCTTGTGCCTTGTAGCCTCTTCGATTCTCTTTTTACGCTGTTGCACGTCTTTCGTAATCGTCAAATTACGGAGGTCGTCGAAGTCTCGCGCAATAGCGTTATTTTGACGTCGGAGCTTTTCGTTTTCTTTTTCGAGCATGCTTTAAAGCGAGGAATTCGAAGGTTCGTCGATGATTTTAGTAAGACGAATAAAGCTTGATTGATCAAGAAACCTCTCGACCTGCTTCCTTTGAATTTTCGCGACTTCTTTAGTTTGTCGATTTAAGCGGGCGATTGTAACCTCGTTCTACTTAGAATCAAACCTTTCGATTGCTGCTTATTGCGCTCGCTGTTCCTCCCAGGTCCATTAGTGCTCTTCCATTTGAATAACTAAGGCTAGTCTATTAGCGTAGCCTCTTTGCTTTAGGAGGCACCAAACTCCTTTAGATATTAAGTAATCCCTTAGTCTAATAAGCAAAGTAAACTTGCTTCTTCAGTAGCCGTAAGCTTGTTTAGCGGCTAACGAAAACTCGTCCGCGCTCTATCTAGCAAAAGCGTATCGGAATAAAGACTAAAGCTCGTAGTCTCTTAATCCTTTACTCTTTATGTCTAAGAAGTCCTCGATAATTAACCTTGCTTTTGTATGATTCTCTAGCTTTAGATACGGTAATGAATCGAGGTTAAAACCGAGGTCCGACGTATCTTCGTTTAAGGCTTCGAAGGTATTCCGAGTGCCTGGGTCGTTCGGTAGCATTAAAGGAGGTTCCGCGAATCTCGAGAGGGGGTCCGCCGGTGCCGGTGTCCTTGTTGTTTGAGCTCTTGCTGACGTTCCAGAAGCTCTTTGTATATTCTCGCTGCCTCGGGGATCGATTGATTGCATATTGTTTGGCTGAGGCGTAGTATTATATGCTGTGTGTAGCTAGCGTGGCTCTACAGCGTTGATGATATTGTTGTATTGCTGTGTGTAGCTAGCGTGGCTCTACAGCGTTAATGATATTGTTGTATTGCTGTGTGTAGCTAGCGTGGCTCTACAGCGTTGATAGGTTGTATATAAGTGACTTGGTTCGGAATCACTCTTCCGTAGTAGGTGAGGTAAGGCGGTGGTATAAGAAAGCGACTTGGTACGGAATCGCTCTTCCGTAGTAAGGGAAAGGTATCGAAGTATGAGAAAGCGACTTGGTTCGGAATCGCTCTTCCGTAGAAAGGTGTAAAGGTATCGAAGTGTGAGAAAGCGACTTGGTTCGGAATCGCTCTTCCGTAGAAAGGTGTAAAGGTAAAGCGGTAGTATAAGCAAGCGACTTGGTACGGAATCGCTCTTCCGTTGTATAAAGAGGGAAGTATCGTAGTAAAAGGTAAGTGATTTTCACTGCGGTTGCAGGTTTCTTATAGCGCAAACTCACTACTTCTATACTCTTCGAGTAAGTAGAAGTAAAGTCCCAACTCTTCGATCGATCTTAGCTTCTCTGTGATTAAGTAACGCTTTCGTTAGCGATTAAACAATCACTGATCAGTGTTAGATCGCCGGTAGCGATCTCTCGTAATATATTCGTAAAAGTCGTGACGTCGTTAAAGTACTTGCAATTGCAAAACACTCGGTGGTAAAATACTCAATTGTTGCTTGTTGTTCTTGTTCTAAGAGAGCTGACTCCTTCTATATAATAAGAAGGAGTCACGTATACTAGCTAAATACTAGGTTTACAAGCAGGTTGGGGGGGCCCCTTGACCTGTGACAGGCTAAGCGAAGCATGCCTAGTGGCCCGTGAACCCTGGTTCACGAGTGAGCTCCCCCCAACTACTATTTACTAGCTAAGGTCGATATAAATATACCGACATTTTGCTTTCGCTATAATAAAAGATGATTCGAAATGAGATTAAAAGTAGTTCGCGGCGATCTTATTTGTTACGAGTGTAACTGTTATAATAGATCTATTAAAGAACCGGATCTTTTTAAGCAGCTTTATCTTATAATAGCTAATAATAATATAGACTTAAGTGAAGTGCCGGATTACTTGCTGAAGCTTTCGGCATTAAAAAAAGCGTTGATCTTACCGTTACATATTAATATATCGCTTTAGCGTTACCGCGGCTATTAATATAAGTACTCGAGCTACGTAATAACCTTTGCTTTTAATAACGCTAAGTTCTTTAAAAACCTTTTTTTGCTGCTTAAAGAAGTTAACGTAATTATTTTTAAGCCGAAAAGTATTAATAAAGACTTTCGGATCAGCAAGCAGTTTAAAAAGGAATGCCGAGTTCGGCGCTTTGCAATTTATATCTAGCTTACTTTTTTAAAAGCAAATAATCTTAAGTATATTAATATTAATATAGATTAAGACTTAATAGATTCTTTACTCGTAGATAAAAATATAAAAAAGCGGGTCACAACTATTAAGGACGAAACACTTAAACAGCTTTTACTAAGGATAGCGGCTTTAGCAGCTATAAAGTCATCGGTATAAAAACGCCGCTATTTGCGCCGAAAAGCTCGCGGTAATCTTAAAGAAGATTCGAGCGAAAATAAAGCTCTTGCAAGCGATAAAAATGCTTTACTTAATATAAAAGATCATTTAGATGCTAACGATAATTTACTTGATAATTAAAAGCGTCTTTTTTTAAAGATTACGGTTCTCGATTTAAATTTAAATATTACGAAATCTAATTAGCTCTTTGCTTAAGTTAATAAACTCGCATCGAAGCAGTATGTTTTTGCTTTTGCTTTAAGCTAGCGGTTTACGCTAATCTTTAAGCTAAGACTTAATCAAAAGCTTTTTAGTTTGGCTTTTTTTATACTATTTTTTATCGGCGCAAGCGATTTTTATACTTAAAGACTTCGAAATGTTAATATAAAAGATTATGCTAAACACTTGATAAGGTACCGCGATAAGCGTTTTGCTATTTACTTTCGTTTTCGGTTTTACTTTTTCAATATTTTAATGCGTTTTAAAGTCGTTAGAGTATCTTTTTATTTTATTAAGTTTCGAAAAGATATTAAAGACTTAAGTATTAATAGTTTGCGAAATCAATTAGAAGAGCAGCCAGCCTTTTTTAATTAAATCGTGCGCTGTAAGCAAGCTATCGATAGCATTCGATCTTTTTAAAAGAAGCAAAGCTATTAGCTAGAAGCATTAGCCAAGTCTTAGCTAAACGCTATAGCAGCTTTTCTTACTTAAAGTGTTGCGGACATGTAATAAAAGGACTTTTAGCGCTATTTTTTTCGGTATGATAAATATAAAGCCGCTAATCAAGCTAAGCGAGCTAGGATAGTTTAAGAAAATGTCTAAAAGAACCCGGTTATTATTGCTTATTATATATATATTCGTTAGCAAGCTTTTTTATAAGACATCTTAAGTTATTATTTGCTATATACTGATTTTTAAGCGCGATAAAAGTAGCAAGATCGTAGCTCGGGTTATATTTATAATATATTTTAATTAGAAAGCAAACCGAACGATGCGAGCGAGCTTGAATTTAATATAAACTTTAAGAAAGATGATTACTTTCGTATTCTAAACTTCGTTAGCTTTTAAGAGGATTATATTACCGCTTATAACCTTGATACGACTCGATTATTAAATCTGCAAAACTCGACCTTTTTATCTTTTAATATGATTAAAAATACGATCGATTAACTTATTGCGTTAATTAATCGAATGCAAATCCACCGCGTTTGTTTAATCAAATATTGTTTACGCAAAAACAAAGATACAAGAGTCCTCTTTTGCAGATTTTACTATAAGCGCTTTATGCAGCCGATAGCTGATTATAATCGGAAAATAAATCCTCGAAGGTATTAGTTTGCCGCTTAGCGCAATTATCTTTTATAAAACTCTTTTTTACTTGTTTTTGTATTAAGTTGGTTAGCTAACACGGATATACAGCTTGTATCTAGCTTTAAAAGTCTTTTAAAATACGCTTTTTGTGACGATACGCCAGGTCTCCTGGACGCACCTTACATGCGCCAAGCTACTTCTCTCCTTTTTTCTTTCGTATTCTTCGTATTCTCTTATTCCCCGCTTTTGACTTATGAACTATAGTTTACGAGTCTTTAGCGCTTTTACTTTCGTATATATAGACTTTAATTACTTTCGACTTTTACACTCGGTAGTTATTGATTCTAAGTCATTACTTTAAGATTCTCTTAAGCTTTTATATGAACTTTCGCGCTTTCGTGAGTTCTTTTAAGTAATCGCTTAAAGTCGTTATATTATCAACAACTACTTCACTTCGCCGGGAACGGCTTTAATAATATTCTTTTTTTTTAAAATTCTTTAATAGTTGGACGTTAAAATATTTAGACGACTTTAACGGTTACGAAAAGGCTTATTTTAAATATAACTTAAAAGATAGCATTTATATAACATAATAACCTTCGCTTCGCAAGCAAAATCTTTTGCACACTTCTTAAAGCTGCTTTAGCAGCTCTTTCTTCTTTTTCTACGGCCTAACTAGCAATTCTTTTTACTTAAGAAAAAGCTATTAATAAGTAAGACGATAAAGATAACCTTTCGGCTTTTATCAACTTTAAAGAAGCTTTAGCTTAATATTAAGCTTTCTTTTAGTTTTAACGAAAAGCCGTTAAGCTTAAAAAGCTTTTCGTAGATATGAAAACCCGCAACGAAAAGCTCGATAAAAGCGCTAGCGAGCAAAAAACCTTCGCCGAAAGGGCTGAAAAAGAAGCCCGTCGAGCTCGAAAAGAACTGGACTAGCTTTAAGCGGTCTTGTTAATTACGGAACGCTTGTTAGAGCTTCTTTAAGTGTCTTTCGAAGATAATTCTAAAAGCAAAGAGCTATATAAGCTTTCGGTCTTTTAAACTACTCTTTTTATTTATAAAACCGCTAACTTTCGCCGCTTTTTCGCCGACGACGATGAACTACTTTCTTTTTATAAGCTAACCAACTTTCGTACTTTAGCTAAGTTCAACACTTTTAAAGCTTTTTCTTTAGCTTTTTAAAGTCGCGCTTATATCGAGCGGATCTTTAACTTTAAACAAAAGCTTTTAAACGGTATAAGCTATCGAGCACGCTATTAACAAGCTTGCGTCTTCGATAACTTAAAAGCTTTCGAAGAATACTTTTTTATAAAACGCTAGCGCAAAAACTACGTTTTTAACTAAATCGAAAGAACAGCTTACTTGTTTTTAGCTTTTTTAATTATAGATCGTAGCAACTTCGTAACCGCTTCGGAACTCGTTTAAATCGCTTTCGAGTTTTTAAACGACTTCGTTAAAAAGATTAAAGCGTTAATTAAGTTCGAAAAACTTTATATAAAGCTTAACTAATAATTTTAAGACTTTTATTTTGTTTTCTCGGAGCTTATTGCTACCGTTAAAATCAAAAACGAAAACCGATTATATAAAGCCTTGCGTTTTAAGATTATTAAAACGCTACGCGACTAGCTTTATTTAAAATTTATTAAGACTATAACTTTTAAAGACTTTTAAACCGCCGTTTAACAATTAGCTATTAGTTAATACGCGTTTGCAAAGCTTTACGATGCTTCATAAGTTAAGTATAATACTTAACTCGCGAAGAGCTTTTATAATAAAGCTCGTAACGAATCCCGCTCGGCTTAAAAAGCAGCGGTCAAGCAAATCATTTATTACGAGAACCGTTAAAGTAGCTTAGCCTTCGTCTTTTTTTTTACTTTTTAACGCTAAACTTTTAATAGCTTTAGCGCTAATATAAATCGATTTAATCGATTTAATAAATTCTTTTTTTTCGGAAACGCTTTTAAGTTAGCGATTAAAACTTTTAAATCGTTTCGTAAAGACTCGAATACGCCGAAGCTCTTTCGCTATTACTTAATCAACGAGATAGAATACGGCGCTAGACTCGAATACGGCTTTTATTCGGATGATTCGGACGATAAGCTTTATTCCG